GTCCTCATCATCATCATATCTACATTTATAATTTCATCAATTTAGTTGTCATAAATCTTTTTATTGTTACCATCATCATTTTTATCATCATCATCATCTTCTTCTTCATAAGCATCTTCAATAATAATAGTCTTCATAAATTCTTGGATTTTAAACATTCCAATCGTAAATAAACTTTCTAATGCCTCATCCCTGCACATATAGCAAACAAACAAATTCAATTAATATGTCTTTTTGTAGGTACAAGACAAAGAACAATAAGTTGTCATGACAATGCTGGTGTCTACTACGATGTTAAACGATGCGGTGAGTCTGATGTGGCATCAATGGAGGATTGCGAGGTTGAATGTACACAGGATTGTGTTTTAGGACGCTATGGCAGTTGGTCTGATTGCAACGAGCAGTGTGGAATGGATGGGCACAAGTTCAGAGAGCGTGTGATTCTGATGGAGAGTAGAGGACTGGGTAGAAATTGTCCTAAGAACTCTCATTCTCTTGTACAGGTAATGATATAATGATTATAATGAATGCTTGCATAATTGTATATGTATATCCCCACTGAATCTATATCAACAAATTCTTATTCTTATTCTTTATTCGGCAATAAAACATAGTACAAAACAATGTTGGTATACATATACAGAACACAAATACAATAAATTTAATGGGCAGGGAACCAAAAGTGAACTTAATCACTATAACAAAAAGTCTGAACCACACTCATCCAGTTTAACATAACAATACAATATTATAAATAATATAGACCAAATATAATATATAATCAAATAAAATACCTGAAAGCAATTATCTAAGTTTAGTGAAATACAAAAACTAAGAAAAATAATAATAATAAATAGATATATGTAAAATAAATAACAAAATAAATACATAGCAAAATTTGTAATTGATCAGAAACTAAAAAAACTGAAACTATTTTAACTTTAATAGAATACGAGTATGGTGACTCCGAAAAATGACGGACGTGAGGCCATAGTTGATTCTACGTTTTGTTCTTTATTGGAACATTGTCAAGAATGAGAATTGGAATTAAAAAGTATATAAAAATTTATCAATCATAATTACAAAACTTAAGCTGTTTCAACATAATTATGAAAAAGAATGATTTAACAGCAGACAGCTAATAATTTTCAGAAACAACACAACAGATTGTATCTTCAGCATAGGCGACGTCTATATTTTATTTTGTATATTTGAGGCCTTAACGGCCCAACAAGACATGTTTCGGCAGTGCTAGTATCATCATCAGTTATCGTATTGCACGCAGGCAATCATTAGTATAGGCGAATAAAAATTCAATGTTTTTCATGCTAAAAAGTTGTGAAATGAAGCGTAACAATATTACAAAACATAGTATAAACGTGGTATAAATAAAGATGAGGTAAAACTAGAGTACAGTATCTATGCCACAAAGGGAAGAATGGAATGAATTTAGAATGACAAAGATAAATGAATATAAATAATAAGTGAGAGCTGCTCCTACTAATATGCAAGGTTTCTTGTAAAGAACTAAATAGCAATACAAGGTATTTGGTGCTTTTACAACCAATAGGGCCTGAGTCAATTTGTAGTTAGAACTGCGCATACTCATATGAAGGTAAAAATCATATACACAACATAGGTTTATATTGATTGATCTCGATTGACCTTGGATATGAGCATCTCGACTGACCTTGGATACGAGCATGTACAGTTTTAACTATGAATTGGTTTATTATCATTATCGTTATTACATGAAACAACTTACCGCAATCTTTCAGAGGTTTCAACATAACGTCCTGTTGCTTACACTGCTCACGATAGGCATTTGAAATGTTACACACGCCCTGGTGGATCTCCGTGCCAGTTATTAAACCACAAATTTGGTTCACGCACATTTTGTAAAATGCGTTGCGGTCCACCTGAAAAATATTACAACCAAAATAGTTAAATATAATTATAAGATCATTTGGCAGAGGAGCAATGGTTTGTAGACACTTTCTTTTAAATAGTTTCCAGAGACCCTAACTTTAAAGGAATAGGTACAACGGCCCATACGACAATGAAACATAGACTATGGTTAAAATATATTGATATGTTTGAATGATTAGGTAATTGACAGTTACAATTCATTTTACCTGTGTAAAGCAGCGGCTAAATTCGGATCGGAAGTCCAGGAAAATCTTGGCACACTTTTCATTAGCAAGTAACGTTGGATCAGTATTACATTGGTTTGCATCGTTGTCGTGAGAAAGACATTTTCTGCCGACCTGCCAGCTACGAGCGAATTCTGGTAGGTTCTTAGTGACACGGCCATTTGATTTGGTCATGTCGTCTTTCTTTTCGTAATTGTAGTTGCCAAACAGTCCTCCAGTCTTGCCGAAGTACCAGCCGGTGACGTTTACAGTGCAGTATTCGCTGTGAAGGTTGCAACGGACAGTGACGCCATTAGTGTTGTCAACGCGGATGATGCCGTTGTCACGGATGATGGTGGTCCTGTCTCTTATACACATCTAGATGTGTATAAGAGACAGGAGTTTCCTTTTCATTTTGAATGAATTCTTGGTTTTCGGAACCTTTGCACATGACTGAAAAAAACACATAAAACCATCTCATCAGATAGTTGAAGATTGGAATATCATATTGATCTAGAGATTGTAAAGAATTTTCAAAAACAACGCAACAGATCGTATCTTCATCATTGGCGAAGCCTATTATTTAATTCATTATATTATGGCCTTAACAACAAGATATGTTTAGGCAGTGCTAGTATCATCATCTACAAACCTCATCATCAGTTACCGTATTGCACGCAGGCGAATAAAAATTCAATGTTTTTCATGCTAAAAAGTTGTGAAATGAAGCGTAACAATATTACAAAACATAGTATAAACGTGGTATAAATAAAGATGAGGTAAAACTAGAGTACAGTATCTATGCCACAAAGGGAAGAATGGAATGAATTTAGAATGACAAAGATAAATGAATATAAATAATAAGTGAGAGCTGCTCCTACTAATATGCAAGGTTTCTTGTAAAGAACTAAATAGCAATACAAGGTATTTGGTGCTTTTACAACCAATAGGGCCTGAGTCAATTTGTAGTTAGAACTGCGCATACTCATATGAAGGTAAAAATCATATACACAACATAGGTTTATATTGATTGATCTCGATTGACCTTGGATATGAGCATCTCGACTGACCTTGGATACAAGCATGTACAGTTTTAACTATGAATTGGTCTATTATCATTATCATTATTACATGAAACAACTTACCGCAATCTTTCAGAGGTTTCAACATAACGTCCTGTTGCTTACACTGCTCACGATAGGCATTTGAAATGTTACACACGCCCTGGTGGATCTCCGTGCCAGTTATTAAACCACAAATTTGGTTCACGCACATTTTGTAAAATGCGTTGCGGTCCACCTGAAAAATATTACAACCAAAATAGTTAAATATAATTATAAGATCATTTGGCAGAGGAGCAATGGTTTGTAGACACTTTCTTTTAAATAGTTTCCAGAGACCCTAACTTTAAAGGAATAGGTACAACGGCCCATACGACAATGAAACATAGACTATGGTTAAAATATATTGATATGTTTGAATGATTAGGTAATTGACAGTTACAATTCATTTTACCTGTGTAAAGCAGCGGCTAAATTCGGATCGGAAGTCCAGGAAAATCTTGGCACACTTTTCATTAGCAAGTAACGTTGGATCAGTATTACATTGGTTTGCATCGTTGTCGTGAGAAAGACATTTTCTGCCGACCTGCCAGCTACGAGCGAATTCTGGTAGGTTCTTAGTGACACGGCCATTTGATTTGGTCATGTCGTCTTTCTTTTCGTAATTGTAGTTGCCAAACAGTCCTCCAGTCTTGCCGAAGTACCAGCCGGTGACGTTTACAGTGCAGTATTCGCTGTGAAGGTTGCAACGGACAGTGACGCCATTAGTGTTGTCAACGCGGATGATGCCGTTGTCACGGATGATGGTGGTCTTCTTAAACTGAACTGGCAGTTCAATCACACGATCGTTCTTCTTGACCTAAACATTAGAAATGGAACAATAATGTTAAAGAATTGTAATACTAGAATAGTGGAAATGTGAAATGACGATACTTATAGAGTATAAGAAGATAAGATTTTTAAATAATATTCTGTGCAAAAATAAGACGAGGAAAATATTGAATCAACTGTGGTCTTCACATCATGGACACAACAGGCATAACAATGCAGTAAAAGCAGTAGAAATTCCATAATGGTGAGGATTGACATAACAGAAAAATGACATAACAGAAAAAACATTCTTAACACATACCTGCCAATCAGGGGTGATTTCAATAGTCTGGTCATCAACCTTCACAACAAGAGATTTTTCATTTACATCTTCTGATCTGTCATAGTCAACGATAACGGTGAAGTTTCCATCAATGAAATCACTTGCCAGCACGTAAGAGCACTTGTTGGTGAAGTCGAAGTAAGACTTGTCGAAAGTCATGTAATGTTCGTTGCCAGCAATCATGCCGTGAGCTACCATAAATGAAAATATGAAAATACCGAATAATATTGTATAGATAGTAAACATTGTTACGACAGTATATATATTATGCAATTTAATAACGGAAATTCTATTCAATTTGCTACCAAATAGCATCAGTTTGTGTTTAGTGGAAATGAAACATACCTTGGTATGGAGGAATAAGATTTTTTGGCTGGATAAGTCTCTTGACCAAGTAGAACCAACTCCAGAATCGATCGGTCTTTTGGATGTAATAATCAACATAAGAATCTATAGTACTATCCTGCCATTTCTCCTTAAGACTCTCCAGATAAACATCGCTAAAGAGTTTCTTTTTTTGAGCTGCCTTATCCAGAATATATTCTTTATAGCCTCGAAGACGTTTGTAAACATTGGACATATATTCTTCCTGATCTGTATCATAGATTTCATCAACAGCCTGCGTGTACTTTTCTGGCCACTGGGTAAGCGATTGCCATTCTTCTTGGAGGAATAGAAGGAACACTATCTCGCCATTTTCGATGTCGAATTTCTCAAGAGAATATGTGCTGTTGTTATATTTTTGCACCTCATCGTACAGTTGAGTCTTCAATTTCTCGATTTCTTCCATCATACGGATCTTTAATTGTTTGAGCCAGTTTTTAGACACATCAACCTAAGAGGATTCATATATCAAAGCATATGTAAAATGCTTCATAAAGTATAACCTAAATTACAACAGAATTCATGTCAAAAAATTCAATAGTCAATATACCAATGAAGTTTTGTTTTACTTAATGCTAAGTAAGCACCCTAAAACACAGTTACTAGTCTTGTAGCATGTTTCCAGGCTAATCACTTGGAAGAGTGGGTGTTTGACTCCCCACTCGAATCACCTCCGATTTGTTTCACAGGGGTTTAGGAACATAATGAGCACTTAGAACATCCGATTGGGGAAAACAACATTCCTACATTACATATAAAATACCATTACTAATTATATAATTACTTATGTTGTTAACATCACCATCATCTCAATCACCATTCTGATTAATTATAAGCATCATTATCCTCATCATCATCATCATCAACATTTTCATTATCATCAACGTCATAATAATCATCATCATCACAACAATAATAATAAATAATAATAATAATAATAATAATATTCATTATCATCATATAAAATATCGGTACCTTGGGCATACTGTATTGAGCCAAAAATGAGAACAGCTCTTTCAGCTTTTGCAGATCCTGGGAATTTTGGACATCACTCAACGTTTCCTGTGCGCCGGCCATTATATCAGCAGCCATTTCATTATTTTGCATATCTTGCAAGCAGGTCATCAAATCGGAATAGAAAACTGATTGTTTAAAGTTCAATTTCATCTCGTCGAAGCGCTCCTTAAAAGCAGCTAAAACATATGAAAATAAAAATTTTAAAAATATATATATATACTGTATATATACATATATATATATATATATATATATATAAATCATCAAAGAAAGGTAAATACAGTGTTATAATAAAGGACATGATGGTACATCGTGTAGCATAGCTCTTAAAGAATGTTATATATATAACGAATTTAACGAATATATATATATATATATATATATATATATATATATACAGTAAACCACGGTCATAAAATTGGTCTTTAATTGCAGTGAGACCTTTTGGTATATTGTATTATATATTGCATTGTATATAATTATATATTTTATATTATACAATACAACTCATGCAGTTGAATAAACCAGAATTAGCATACCTGTTATGTTGGCGGCAAGTTCCTTAAATAGTTGGCCTAATATTTCTTTTTTTTTAGCTAAAGACGTATTTAGTCTGTCCAAATGTACCATCTCTCTTTCCTTGATATCTTCCATCATTTCTGTTACAAGTACCTTTATGAATGTGGCATCTTTTCTCAGATTTCTATTGTATGTCTCAGCGAATGTGTTGAATTCGTTGATCATTCGTCCACCAAACTGGGCCTTGTAGTTCGCAAGAGATGCCGAGGCAGCCTGTACACAATGTTAAGATGGGCGTGTAGATATTTACGATGGTTGTAAAAGATAATATAATATAATATAATATATTAATTATAATTACAACAGAATTTCGTTAAAAAAAATCTTACCTGAGCCCACATCTGCATTTTCATTTGGAGGTCCAATTTAAGTTCTTGAATTTGGGACTCCAGTCTGTTAATTGCTACTTTCATCTTCTCAATTGAAGGAGTTACTTGAGTAACGAAATCGGTCTTAATTTCGTCAATGGAATTCTGTAAGTAAAAAAAAACAAATCCTCCTTTAAAGTATGGTTTATTATAATTTCTTAACTAAACACAAAACTTGGTAGTTATTTGTGGCGTTCCGATCCAATCATATCGACATATTCAAATGTGTTTGTACAGCAGAAATAATTAGGAAAGTTGCATTATTATGTATTAGGATTTTAATTTAGCGTGCCTTAAATATTATAACGGGGTGTCACCAGAATTTGCTCGACAGGAATTTTATGTCTGGACCACCTTCGAAAAATTTTGAGCGACGCCCGACCACAACCACTACCACTTTGCTCTCGTCAGGAACATCGGCCCCTCCATCAGAGACCTCGTTCCTCCCGCCCACCCCCTTCTCGTAGGGCAAATCATGACGCCACCTCTGGATCTTCTATTTAGTAGACAGTTTATAATATTCTTGTCACATTAGAAGCTTTTTCATTGTTTTTTGTTTATTAGCATACCTTCATGCTTAGTTTCCGTGCATTCATTCTTATTTTGAAAGCAGCAATTTTCCTTTCGAGATCAGCAACCAGTTCGTAGTACATTGTGCGGTATTCTGAATTTTCTCTTACAAAGTCCATCATACTGTCGTGTAGGCGACCGGTGAATTTGTTCATACGTTGCTGTATACCACTAGAGCGAAGACTCATAGAGTTACTTATGTTGGAAAGCAATCTTGCAACGGTAGCCTGCAAAGTATACATCAAATGTATTATAAATTATTCAAAAGCTTGCTTGAAACAATAAATTTATTTATCCCTATTCTTTTACCTGGATAAGCGTATCAGTAATTAAGTTTATTATCCCTTTATCTCAGAGACACATAAAGCCACCCAACTCTACCTAAATGATCTGATATAAGTATCATTTTCGGTGACAAATAACAGTCACAATAATCATGATGACGTCATCAAACCTGATTAGGGGATTCTGATCAGGTGATTGATGACTGGTGCTGGCACCAGAATAGAAGTGTATCAGCATTTTATTTGTCACCGAATCGGTTGCATAAAGTACACTCAAATGTAATACACAAGAATAAAAACGATATAATTATACTGTAAGAAAGTTTATTTTTTCTTATTATACTAAGAATCGGCAAAAATAAATACAGTTTGCCCTATTATTCGAGACAACATGTGGAACATGACATTTTGGGGTGGTATTGGGGTCCTGCCTCAAAATAGGGGGTTGGCTAAAAATCATTTTTAGATTGAAGAAGTTCATTTGGTTCTTTGAAAAATCGGTTTTGGATTTAGAGGGGTCTCTGTACGCGACAAGGTTCAAACTAATCTGGGCCTGCTCCCATAGGCAGCTTTAAAAATTTAGCTGCCCCTAAATAATAATAATTAAAAAAAACAGTCGGCAAGTTAATATTTTATTGGGATATTAAGATATGTTTAGTTTTAATCAAATACATTTCAGAAAGTTTTTTTTTTTCTTTTACTTATTTAATCGTCTTCTTTTTGCTTTAGATTATGGAGCAAATACGTAACACATACAGTGCTGTTTTCTGTATACAAAATTTACTAAAATACTTGCATTAACATTTTGAATCCATTCTGGGCGCCAATGGATCTCATTACGTAGAACCTTCGGGCTGGTGAGTACTACACGTACGTGGGCGTCATTGGTTAGTTGACCACGGATCATTCGAGTTAGATCAGCCTCAAGAGCTGTGTCGTTAAAGTAGCCCATGGTCACCTTCCAGTATTCCTCACCTTGCTCTGCACATCAAATGATCAAGGTGTGAATGATTATTATCGTTTTTAAATAGATAAAATCGACACTTACGTGTTGCTATACCGTTATACAGATTACTTCTTTTTAGCCCGGTACTCGCTCCTTATTACAACGGTCGTACAACCGTCGGGCAAAGAATCCAACTCCGATCTCCCTTTGAGCAGTTTGTGCCCAGCTTACCTTAAGGCGTGATCACTTGAATATGAAAACGAAATTGTTGGGAAATTATAATTACAGGTTTGCCTCTAATTAAAGACCCCTTTCAGGGGCGAATCCAGAGATGTCCGAAAGGGGCGGGACTGGGAGGATGGCCGATCGAGAGACAACAACACCCTAGAGGGGTCCGGGGGCATGCCCCCACAACATTTTCTAAACGCCCACAAATAACCTCTGAGGCCTTTTTGTGTGGATCAATAATTTCTTTTTCTTTTTTTGACTTTCTAAAAGGGGAGGGTTAGGGTTGACTCTCCCCCAACCTCCTAACTCCACACTGCCTTTAATTAAAGACCACCTCCAATTAAAGATCACTTTTCTGTGGTCCCATTTAAACTACCGGTAATGTCTATTATCTTTATTAATCAGATAAGAAACTTGAAATTTTAATTGGAGGAGGGAGACCTGTATCATTAATGTTTTCTCTGTTGGAGAATATTTAAGTGTATATTGAAGAATAATGGAAAGGTTCAATATAATAACTCACCGTCAAACATGAACTTATACTCAATTTCTTTGTTGATTAGATTAATTATGAGGTGACTAGGCTTGATAGCCTGATCGTATTGGTTGGTCATGTCAAGGCGGTAGTGGCCCTCCGAGATCGTGACAATCTGTCCTCGGAACCACATTTCCCGCTGAGGTCCATTTGTCTGCAAAAACAAAAAATGAACAAGTCAGACCTAATATCTTAATATCCTATAAAAATCCAAATAATCTAGGTCTATATAATTTGTTCTCATAATTCATTTGATAGAAGTACATTATCAAATAATATAAATGTAGTCTTACATGGATCTGGTATTTTTTAGATAGCTTGTTGAATTCTCCTTCTAAGGCAATCGGGATATAATCATCATCAATAGCGATCTGTGACTCTAAACCAATGCTGCCGCGTTCGGTGTCATTGGTAAAGGAGCAGGCGAGTGTAACGTCGATGTTGCTGAAGAGGTGAAGTACCTCCATTCCTAAGGTGTAATCACTGGTGTACTCGGCCACAGTGTTGTTAGATAGATCGAACTTGAAGCTTATGTCCTTCTTCTTGTCACTACTATATGATACATCGATATCAGTACTGAACATTTTATTACCGTCAAACAATTTTCCGACTCCTTTAATTGTGATATCCTATGGAAATAAATCATAATAATTATCTTGTTATACAAAATACAAGAGAACTTAATTGTCATCAAACCAACATGTGGAAGACTGCCGCATTAACAACATCTAATAGAGCACGATGGACACATAATAGACCTATACTAAGAGACCAGCGATAGATGGATATAGCCAAGTGGACATCATTTCTTCGTGACAGAGAGGAAGTCAATGTGAAAGTCGAAGTAAATTTACTTACATGCTCATCTGGTCTGGATATGATTAGTTCAGCCATGTGGTGTATCTTTTGGTCATTTGTTTTGTTTCTGTATCGGCTGGCTACAGTGGTGGTCAATCCATTTCTGACAAACATGAGCTGCAAAATTGACAAAATAACAAATTATTCATAACAAAATTATTTTTTAACCAGTAGTAAGTTAATCATTTACTGACTGTATTCATCGCTTTTGAAAAACGATGGGGAGAAGAAAACTGATGAAGAATATAAAGACAAATGAACATAAGATCATGTCTAAGCATTCACCTTTGTGGATCGTTCGATGTCATTGACCTCGCGTCTAATATCTATTGACATATCTTGAGGAACATTCGGCATGTCATATGGATGTCTAAGGCGGAGAACTTCATGATGGTGGAGGTTCATACCGATGTTCTGTTCCTCGCAGAGTCGATCGAAGTGCACCTTGTAATCGTCACTGAGATCATCATACAAGAAAATGATGTGTTGAGAAACATCTTCATTCTCTTCTTCATTTGTGTAGTTGAATACCATATTTCTAAGAGGTTCATCGGTGAGTTGTGGTAGCCTGCTCTTGAAGATGTAAGCAATCTTTCTACCGTACGATGTTGAAGACACTACGTTCATACTAGTCTCTAATTCGATCTGTAAAATAATATATTAAATATTTTTTCATTAACATTCAACAATATTAATTGATAGCGAATTGAAATACAGTATAGGCAGAATTTTGGATAATGCAAAGTATTAAAGATTTAAATATTTAACTGATCCAGAAAACACCAAAGGTAAGGAAACTAAAATAGGTTTTCTTGCCTGTCGCTTTCCATTGACGGTGATGTTAGTGCCGGCGAAGATTAATGCGGTAGACTGGTCGTATGTGAAGTCCACATTCATGTCATAACCAGTAATGTAGGTGTTGATAAGATTGAGGGCAATATCAATCTGTGCGTCTGTGTCGGTGATTATCGGAACCAGGTTGAAGTCGACTCGTACTGTTTGGGCATCAGCCTGCGAGACAGTAAATTCAAAACCTTTGCCGGAGTTGGTATTAGTCAAGACCATTTTCAAGTTTAAGTCGTTCTGGTCTTCGGGAAGATCGAATGTCCAAACGAGATCCTTTACTGCGCCATTCTCCTTGATTTCATAAACTAAGTCAGTGGTGAACACAGTACCACTGGTGAGTGAAATCTCCAGATGTGGGTTAAACCTTGTTTGTGTGTTCCTGTGAGTAAAAGCAAAACCAAGTGAACGTTCTGGTGTAGTGGTGCTCAACTCAACCTCAAATATTTTCTGAGAGTCAGTGCTTCTGTCATTGAAGGTTAGTGTATTTGTAATGGTTTTTCCTGGGGCATACGTCACAGAGAATGTGGATGTGAGTGATGAATCACTGCGGCTGAATGAACAACCCGCTGAAACACTTTGGTCTGGCGCTTCAAGTGTAAGAGTGACTTCATGTCCAACTTCTGTCTCGGCAGTGTTATTTTGGTAGTCAAGTCTGACAGCAAATCGTTTGCCCTCCTGTCCTCCTGGTGTGAATGTGGCAGCTGATTCAAATGTAACAACCTTTCCGCGGAATTTGGCTGAACTAAGCAATTCAAATTTGTTTTCTGGGGTTGCAAAACTTATAGCCAATTCACCGTGCTTTTTGTCGACGCTGGTCTTGTTACGAAAGTTGGTGGTGAAAACGAAACGGTTCTGAAGAACTGACAGAGTTGAGATAAAGTTGAACAAACTGTCTTTCTTATATTCAAGTTCTGATACCCAACTGACATCCTTCAATGACTTCAATGGAGGAATCATGCAAGTTAACGACAGCTCCTTTTTCAGTTTTTGACTATCGCTCATGTCTTCTAATTCCAACTTCAGAAAAACAATTCTGTCAGTATTCTTCATTGTGGTTAGTTCTGTATCAAATTCTCCATTGCTAAATTCAATATAGTATTCAACGGAAACCTGGGTATCTTCAGGTGTAGCGATGTTTACGGTAATGCTATGCTTTTTGTATTCGTCTTCCTCTCTTTCACTCTTTTCCCACATAATCTCCATTGTACTGGTTCTATTAGTTTCGGTTTTCAGACTGGTGGTAGCAGATATCTGGTTTTCTGAACTTTTATGCCATGTCTGAATAATGTGGCCCTCTCTCCATGGACATGCAACCTCAAATGTAAACGAGCCTCTTGGTAATTCCATTGTACCCTCATTGATTAAGTTAAGTTTGGTGTGGAATAGACTAGTAGTGGTAACGACTTCGTTAAGATCGACAACAAAATTTAATGGGCTTTCAAAGTTACGTGTCAAGCTCTGAGTTACACGGTACTCCTTCTGGAAGGATGGCAGTCGTAGAATAATTTCAAGCTCGTTTTCCAGATTGGTATCTGACTTGGTTAGGTCAAAGGTGTGCTCAACTGCGATCATTTTGTCACCCTGGCAATCAATATTACTGTAGCATAGGCGAAGGGAGCTCTCGGAATGAAGCGCATTACATTTTGAGCTGGAGTCAATTCGGAAATTAAACTGAGGATTGTGGGAAAAGCTCATACTGGTCATGAAGTCATAGCTCTTGTATTTCTGAAATCATAAAAAGTGATGTTTTAGAATACCGTAGTTTAGAAAACACTTGATAATCTTCGACATTATATTATCGAAATATGCAGTCATGCACAACACTAAAACATATTTACATCTTGCAAAACTATAAGCTTAAATACTCGTGAATTGTGAATCATATTCCCTGATATTACTCTATTAGCAGATACTGTATATAAAGATGCACAAAATGAGTTGCTATTAAAGAAAACGCTTTAGTTTAAATACAAACATGTTTTTTCATCTGAGATATACTCAAACGGTAAGCTTAGTTAAATCCTAGGTAAAGTTGATTATTATCGCATCTTACCTCGCTTGTGTTGTTGGTCAACTTCATAGCGAAATTCAGTGTTCGACTGTCCTGGTTGGTTGGTACATATTCGAGAGAAATTTCTGAGGAAACGAGGTTGCCCTTTTTCACAACTTCTCCATCAATCCTAGCATTGATATAGCGACCACCAAGATTCAAATCAGTGGTGTAGGTGAGTTTCTTCACACCATAATTTTTCTGTACATTGCCTATCGTAAGAAAAAATTTTTAATAATAACAATATAATTAGTCAAAAATATATCAATTAAAAATATATATTAGTAATATATATATATATATATACATATATATGCATATATATATATATTATATATATATATTATTAACCATTCATTATTACTATAACATTCAATTAGGCCTCCTTAAGCAGAAGTGCGCGCAACAAAAATGGTGGAAATATGTTGAAAGCTAATTTATGTGAATCCGAATAAAAGAACAATCATAGAGATGGACATCTACCTGACAATGTGATGAGGTTTTCAGAAGGTTTGTTGAAGACAAGGTCAATATCAGTACGGTTTTGTGCTTCGTATTTGGTTACACTTCCTGAGAAAAGGTAAGTTTTCGTTTCTCCGTCCTTATTAAACTCAAATTCGAAGGTAGGTAAGAACTTCATTGTCTGAGCATTAACGTCTGGTTGCATGTTCATCTTATATAAGATTTTCAGTACACGGGCCTCATCGAGGAAGAAGTGTGTTTCCATTTTCTGCATTAATTGTTGCTTGACAAAGTCGGCTTCAGAAGTAAAGAAATATATATAAAATAAGATAAGATAACTTTTATCGTCCAACATTGCACTGGACATTTAATCTCTCTTTGACAATATGAAACACCTAAAATTCACATAAAAACACAGTACAATAAATATTTATATAACATTTATTTTTGTCTAAAATAGTAATGTTTAAGAATTTAAAAAAATTAAGGTTTTGGAAAAATCAGTGTATTAAGAACAGTGGTAGTGTTAGTGTCTTGTAAAACAAGGTGAAGGGAGACAGAGAAGAAGAAAATTATAGGCGGGAGAGTCAAACACAATTTTAGGCGAATTTTTACAATAGCTAAATTGAGGTCCACTACCGGCTGGGGTCATGGAAAGCCCATGGCAATTCGAGAGGCAAAGACTCATTGATTCTAACACTGTACTGTAATTATACACTTTAAAGTTAAAAATATAAAAGTGTATAATTACTGTTCAAATTGTTAAATATAGCAACAATGTTAAAGTAATATCCCATTTAAAATAATTAAATAGAATGTTAATCAATTAAATATCATTACATTATTAAAAGTTTTCAGGATTTAGAGGGTCGGCCAATTCGCATGCTCCCGGACCCCCTATGATAGTGCTGTCTCGATCAGGCCCATTTTAGCACCCCCCCCCCCCCACCCATTTTGGACATCTTTGGTTTCGCCATTGACAATTAAGTACAAGCAGTTGCTATTCGAATTAATAGATAATATTTGTTTGATATGCCTAACATTAACGTGTGTGACAAACATCACCACAACAATTATTATTATTATTATTATTTTTACATAGTTATAAAATAAATTTACCTCTGATGGATGCCGTTTTAGTTGGAGTTACCATATCAATAGTGAGGTTCTGTTCACCTCGATCAAATTTCATGTCGACGGAGTATGCACGCCGTAAAATCCCAAGGAAGTACCTCAGTTATGTCTCACAGTTCAGCTGGTAAAACAACCGACTTTTGTGTTTTAGTGGCACAATGGATTTTTACAGGATGAAGGAATTAGTACATATATCACAAAATTTTAATAAACCAGATTTACAGCTGTGACCCATTCCAGTGTGTGCTAGAAGGACTTCTAATATTTAGAACCTCCTTAAACAAATAGTGTGTAGCTTTATAAAGTAATTCTCATTACGAGGAAGTAGAAATGTTTTAGGGTCTTGAACATCATAAGTAGAAACAATTACTATCTTGGTATCTTCCAATTTTTGTAATTGAAGCAGCCTATTTTCATCAAAGGATTAACATTGCTATAGTTTTTCGCCACTGTTATCTTTCGTATATTTTAATACTTTATAAGTTGCAAACAATATTTGTATAATACTTTATAAATGAAGAAAGGCGCAAAAAGAGAAGTAGTGGTTTACTGTACCTGCTGTTTTTCATATGATGCTTCCATGGTGTACTTAGTAAGGGACACATCTCGTTTCTCCAAATATAGTTCGATGTCAAGATTTCCAGACAATGGGAAACGTGGACTGTTTGGCTGTGGGTTAAAAAAAAATGAAATCATAAGGATGGAAATAAACTAAATTCTTGTTAGTCTTTAAATACTAACAGAAATTTTAATTTGTGTTGTACATTTCCTGTTTCTTTGTAAAGCTAATAAAATATTTTATTAGCCTACCGTATTATTGCAGAGCCAACATTAACAGACATTGAATAATGATAAGCAATTAGTATAGTTGTTTATTTTACACTAGTGAAAAATATTATATGGTGGATAAACTAATGCATCAAAATCTTTTGAGGGTTTGCAATTTTTCATTAGTGCACAGTTTGGGATAGGAAAGATTGGAAATTACAGTCCAATTCATATGCTACCCTTAAACAGCCGTAAATTGGTGTTTTTTAGCACTGAAAGGCATGTCATTTACGTCTGAAAAAAAGTCAGAAAAAAAGTAGACCTATTTACCTTCATGATAGTACTTGGGAAACTGGCCTCACCACAAAGAGCGACACCGAAATACTGTTCAACTTTAGCACCAGTGCACATGTCCAAACTCATTTGGGTATCTGGGCTTCCTTGAATTTCCATCATCTCATCCATGCGGATCAAATACAGATTAGATCTAAAGATTTTACAAAGGACGTAAGACTTGATATAAATTAACGTTCGATTTAGATGAGTATATGTTTGTAGATGCGAGGTGTATGAGGGTATGTAAGGGACGCGGATAAAAAAAATTGACATTATTTGAGTTAAACATGTAAACTAACTCACTTTACATCAGCAATGTTTAGTCGTTTGTCCGGTACGTTCAGATTCAAGTTGAATACCTTGCCATTGGTCAACACAACACTGCCCTCAAGTGACGTGGAGGTGTGAGCGCGAGCAACGTGTTGTACACCTGTTCGTGCAACGAAAAAATCGACTTCCATAACTGTGCTCACTTCAATGGCCGCGCTAAACATAAAAGATATAAAAAAATGTAATTTTTAGGTTATAACGACAACGGAAAACAACTACAATACATCTTATAATATAATAAAACATAAATATAAATACTGTATAAGTATATGATATTTTTTTTGAATTTCATTAAGGTACATAAGATTGTCAGCCGAAGTACCAATCCCTAACATAAAAGAAATATATACACTTGGGGCGAAAAAAATATATAATTAATTTAATTTTTGCATGTGCACATAATATGAACATAATGATTTGAAAGAATTAAATTTTACCTTGGCTCAACCTTTCCGGTAATATCTAAACTGCGCGGTCTCACCATTATTTGCCGGACATCCATTTTGCCTGATGCCTTCATTTGAAGTGAGGCACTGCCGTTGACAGAGATCTTGATTGGAAGGCCAGCACACGATGGTACCTCACTGGATACCTCCATCAACATCATATTCTTACTGTATTCAATGGTTTTCTCCTTTGCCAGCTCCATTGTAAGTTTCATAAGGTGCTGTAAAATAAAAACAAAACAATTTTAACTCTTTCAAACAGTGTTTTTTCTGTGTTGTTTAAACAGGCCTGGAAGCCAATTAACATGTTGTGATAAAGGAAGAAATAGAGAACAACGTCAGAGCTTAGACAACAGGGAGAATTCGCAACCTTACAAAAACAATGACGAATACGAATACGTCATCTTAATATCGTCATTTGTGCCTAAAAATGAGATATGAAAACATGATTTGAGTAAGTTGAACATGTTGCAGTTACCTGAAGAATATTTGTCGATCCACTCTCTGGTGTCCACTCGCTAAGTTTACTCAAGTCGGCGAATCCAAGTTCGTTACCAAACACCTTGAAGTAAACAGATCCCTGAAGCATATCTTCGGCTTGTATATCGAACTGAAACATAAAAAAAAAGATTTTAAATTAAGCTCGGTCTAGACTTTTCTTTGACACAAAACCGTTGTATGCCCATATACAGTCATGATGTGCCTATGCTAGTCACATGTTTTTGTGACTAGCATAGGCTTAGGATTAACAGACGGACTACTTAAGAAATACTTAACGTTATAATATCATTCGGGAAGGTTGTTAGTTGTGGTTAGGTATGTCAGAAATTGACGTTTACACTTTAAATTTGCAGCAACGTAATAAAAATTACGTTGAAATGAAGATTATGTTATAAAATTTGTATTTGGTTGTACAAAAAACATGTGAATACAAAGTAAAATTGTTACCTGAGTACCTGGTTTACCTACTAATCAGAAACTATTATTAATAATTTTGGCATTATGATTCTTACGTTTTCGAGCAAATTGTTCAACGTGCTATCCCTGATGTTGGCACGTCTTTGGCGTCTCGGTCGGCTCTGGATAAGATCCATCAGACCGTTGTCTTGGAAAAACCCATTAGGTCCAACCAATGATTCAAGCAAGTACTGAATGCCTTCAACACGACCGCCAACCTCCAAAAGATCGATAGAGAAACCAAAGAGGTCAAGCTTGGAATCTATCGAAACTTGACGAGGGACGAAGGATTTGGGTGAGAAGATAACATCACTTTCAATGGTAGCACCCAAGCCGGTGGTATCTAGAAATAAGTTTCAACAAATCGATCAGTATTTAAAAGACCGCCAAGTGTATACTTACAGTAAATTAGATAACGCAAACAAGTCATACAAATAGAAATAAGTTAACATTAGGTTTAGTTTAACATTAAACATCTAATTTCACCAACCATTGAAATAAGAAATTTCCATATTGCGGGAGAATTTCCTTGGATCCATTGGAAATTCCTGGAGGAGACCGCTTTCCTGTACAATTGCACGGTGTTCTTGCTTCAGGGGATCTGAACTCTCATTCAAATTCTTCATGAAACTCCACACATAAGAGCCAACTAAAAGAAAATGTATGCGTTTTAAAGTTCATTAAACATAGGCTGTCATTAATTTATAGAAAGTGGGTATTGAATTCACTATAACACTGTAAGAGGCGGTTAAACATGTTTGCCACATTGTAATTATACGGCATTGGCACTGTGTTCTAAACAGTATGAAACTAGCCGAGATAGCGTGAAATTGAGGTTGCGATTCCAGAGACCGCTTTTTCATACAACTATAATAAGGACCTTTCGTTGATGAACTATGTTTGTTACGATTCATAACATCATATTCCTATATATTTGAGCAATGTAGTATTATCTATTTGATTAATACATAATTTGGGTTCTCAGTGCTTACAATAATATAAAATTCTGTTATTTTTTTCAAAACAAATATAATAATGTACCTTGATCAGAAGTCTCTGTAGCCATTTGTCTTTTAATCTTGTCCATCATGTCGGTATCCAAACATTTCATGGCGCCACGGAATGCTTCGATTCTAATCTCGCTGTCTTCTCTCTCATCTTTAAACAAGGAGAGCATGTTGTCGCGCTAATAAACGGAAATAAACAAGATGACTTCCACGATTATTAACAGCTCTAGTATTTTATACTGTATATACATTATATATAGGCCTATATGTATAATATGTATGTGTGTATGTGTGTG